TACATTCAACTTACGTAACTCTTTGAAAACAAATTGTTCACTGATTGGTAATAACTCGAAGCTGTTTTCACGTACACCTTTTCTTTCGTAAAAGTCACGAATACAATCATTGTCTGCGCTGAAAAAGTCTTTGGAAGGGGGGAGTTTGTCTACTAATTTGGCAGCCACATTTGTGAAATGAGAATTGAATTCATCAGCGATGGCCATCTTATCATGACATAATTCCCCATCAATTTTAATGACAGATTCTTGTTCTTTTCGCTTCTTATTTTTCAATCCTAAGCTTTTTAGATTCTGCCAAAGTTTTTTCGAATCTTGTTTATTTTCTTCTATCTTGTTTTGTAAGTAATCGAGTTTAGCCTTTTTCACCTCTCTTTGGACCATATTTCTTAATACTCTGTATCTTTTATAGAGCTTCTCATCTTTTGCTCTTTTCCTCCATTTTTTGTATACTATATTTCTCTCTTGAATTAGGGAAAGAATATCTTTAGTCACCCAAGTTTCTGATCTTTGTTTTATTCTTATCCGTTTCAGTGGCGCTATCATATTCAAATTTGAGATAAAAACATGTTGAAATATTGACCATGCCTCATTTACATCTGTACAGTCAGTTATTCGTGACCAATCAACAACAGATAGTTGAAGATTGAAAGACTCTTCTGTATATTTTTTCATGGATCTGATATCATTAGTCCTGTGATGACCTATAGCCAGTCTAACATTTTTCCGTGTACAGAAAGTAAAATAATGGTCGCTAATACCTAGATCAATGACACCACTTTGACTTATTTTATTTTCTTTGGTACAACCAACATGATCCAATAGAGAAGAACATGTAGGTGTAACGCGTGTTGCCTCTTTAATGAGTTGACTAAACCCATGAAGACTCAACAAGTCAATATATTTTTTAGCCAGTGGCGATTTGCGAAGAAGACAAATATTCATGTCTCCTAAAAGAATTATTTCGTCATCCTTCTTTAATGTATCAAGAATATTGGACAATTTCTCGATAAACAAATTGTTTTTCGGGGGTCGATACAGAACACCAACAACAATTGGTTTTGATCTTGGTATAAGCAAATTTATCCACAGGGATTCCGTATCTCCAGTACTTATAGCATCCATAATATTAAATGCAATATCATTTCTGATATAGAAACATACACCACCTCCAGAGCCAGAGGATCGATCATGGCGTATGATTTTATATCCGTCTATTTCAATTTCTTCATCATTTATGGAATTGTTTAACCATGTTTCAGTGAAAGCAATAATAGACAGCCTTTTTCTTTTAAAAAGAATTCTAAGTTCCGATATCTTGTTTAGAATAGACCTCACATATACAAACAGGGCCCTAGCGTGGATGGGATTCCCAAGGATTGCGCAATATGCCAGGAAGGATCAATATTATAACCCAACTATTGAACCCGACAACAGAGCTGAGAAACTTACGCTACTCAGTATTGCGACATCACATCACATCAAAAAAAATTATGATTTGCGTAGGTGCAGAAACAAGTATTGTAGCTGCCAGGCGCGGATCCAGGATTTTTCAGGGGAGGGGGCCCATTTTTTTTGCTCCCGGAAATTTGAAAATCGCGCCGGCCGAAAAGTCGCTCAGTGGGGGGGGGGGGGGGGGGGGGGGGGTGGGTGGTGAGCAGTATTTTTTTTTTTTTTTGCTCCCGAAAATTTAAAAATCGCGCCGGCCGAAGAGTCGTTTAGTGGGGGGGGGGGGGGGGGGGGAGTGAGCACTTTTTTTTTTTGGCCCTCGAAAATTTAAAAATTTGCACCCCCCCATGCAGATATAAAAAAAAAACCGTGTTTTTACACGTTTTTTTTTCCAAGGGGGGGGGGGGACCCGTGCCCTCCGGGCCCCCTGGATCCGCCACTGGTAGCTGCAATGCTGCATTATACTCGAACATTAGAATTGCCAATAAACAAATGGCGGCCCAAAGTGTGAAGAACCTCAATGAGAAATTAGCATGTGCAGTTTGCCAGCATACTCTCAATAATCCGAAACTTCTTGCATGCTTTCATGCATTCTGTGAGGAGTGTTTGAAACAGGGTGATCAAATAGAAGTGTGTTCAGGTTAGCTGAAATGCCCAGAATGTAGCACGGTGACAGATCTTCCAGAAGAGGGCGTGGCAGGACTAGATTGGAATCCACTGGTTTGCAGGCTAGTCGAGGTGCTTCAGGCAAAGAAGAAGGCGAGCCACATCATGTGTGATGCATGCGGAGACAGCGAGTCACCTTTGACAACCTACTGCCGAGACTGTTTAAGTTTCATCTGCGACTCATGTGCTTCTTACCATGGAAAAATGAAACTCTTGCTGAAGGACTTTTACACCCACAATTGTAATAACGCCCACAAATGTAATAACGCCCACAAATATAATAACACTTTACCCACAAATGTAATAATATCACCCACAAATGTAATAACCACTTTACCCACAAATATAATAACCACTTTACCCACAAATGTAATAATTTTGAATCACCCACAAATGTAATAATGACTTTACCCACAAACGTAATAAATTTGAAGGGATATTTTGTCGAATTTGTTCAAAACTAAAACCCTGTAATAAAGCATGGGTATAGCGCGCAGTCTTTACTCCAGAACCGGTTATTTCAAAAATTTAAAAAATCTTCAAAACTAAGACCTCATAATCCTTTTCCTGTGGAATAACATGAGAATCGAGCGTAGTCTTTCTTCCAGACCCGGTTATTAAAAAGTATTAAAAAAAAAAAAAAAAAAAAAAAACTTTTAAACTAAGACCCCACCATCTTCCGAACTAAGACCCGGTAATAAAGCATGGGTTTAGAGCTATTCAGCGGCTGGCTGAGTTTGGACCAACAAAATGTGCTCTTACCACGGATTCACAGCTTAGATTAGTAATCAGTTTTAGCCACGCGATCACTACAAAAAAAAGTTATGGTAACTTTGACCACCATTTAAAAAGGTGTTTTCAGACACCTAAGAATTACTAATTTTTCACACCTGGAAATCACGGATGCCCAGCTTAGATTAATAATCCGTTTGAGTCACGAGATCCCGCGGAACTTATGGCAACCTTGACTACCATTTAAAAAGGTGTTTTATGACACCGAAGAATGACTAATTTGTCACACCTAAATATCAAGGATTCACAGCTTAGATTAGTAATCAGCTTGAGCCACGTTATCATCACCAAGAAAGTTATGGTAACTTTGAAACCATTCAAAAGAGGTGTGTAAGACACCTCAGAATTACTAATTTAATACTACAAAAAAATTCACGGACAGAACAATAAAACGATTAGCCGGTGTAAGTAGCGTATTACCATCAACCTTGGATAACAAACTCGTTGCTTGGTCAAGTGGCTATTAGGTCATAAACACTTGATTTACAGAGGTAAGTGGGATCACGTTACTCCAGTCACGTGATAAATTGGTGGTTTTTAGGTGAGATGAAAACGTGAACAGGAGTACCTGTTTTTTGTTTAAATGAAGGCACATGTCGATAACGTTTAAATCTAGTTCAAAAGGCACCATACTTTAAAATCACTTAAAATACACTCCCAAAAGAGGTTATTTTTCAGTGTTCTGTTTATTGGGATAGCATGAGTGGTAGTGTGTTTTTCACGGAAACCAAACTGGAAATTTGACAAAATGTTAGTATTCATCAGAAATGTCATCGCCCGACAATACATTAGCTTCTCAAGAATTTTAGAAAAGGAAGTCAACAAAGAAATATGAAGATAATTATTCAAGATAAGGGCATCACCTTTTTTTTTAAATGGGCACAACCTTTGCAATTTTAATTTTCATGGGTACAACACCAGTGGTCATTGATAGATTAAATTATGTACGAGGGGTTGTACAATACCAACAATTACATATTTTATCAACTCATTTGTTACATAGTCACAACATGGATTTTCTTATTCTTCAAAGTATGTACAATTATATCAAATAATTCTTTTACAGTCGTTGGCAATAAAAAAAAAAAAAACTATTATGATTAGGGTTTCCTAAAAAATATTGAAATGTTTTTAGAGACTTTTGAATGACACGCGACAAATTCTGGCCAATATTACAAATATATTCATAGAATACATTCACAATAACTTCTGGATCATCAACTACATTCCCATCAATGTTTAATTTACTTACATCAGACGTTTTCTGCTTTACTAGCTTCCATGTCCCTTTTATATCATTATGTGTCGCCTGAAATTGAGCAAAGTAATACTGCTTCTTATAGCAGCACGTAGAATTGAAGTAAGAGTATTCCTGTAGCGGAAGCATCTTTGACTTTGTTTATTGGTCGTTTCTTTATTGTTCCAATTCTGTTATTGCTCCAAATACTCCGTAAAAACTGCACAAATGAAAATAGATCGAACGGGTCATAAATCAACTGTTCATGAATATACATATTATGCTTAGTGAAAACCTGGTGACTCGTATCAATAATATGAACCTTACAGCTAATTAACCCCTTGTTTTAACCTTTGTTTTAGCTCTTTTCCTTATCTCACACATTAACTTAAATTAGGCAAATCTTTGTTTACATTCTTGCATACGTGTACCTTTCAATCGCATGCCGTAGTGTACATTACATAACAATAACATTCGGTATGTGAGCCGACCGTCTCGGCTACTGTTCAATGTAAGTTACATCCATGTAATGTACACAGCGAGTTAGGTGCGAATGAAAGGTACTTAATCATAGACTATCGCATCATTACATCATTTATATACAACATTCATCACATATCATCATTACATACCTTCATTCTGCCTTCTTAAGTGCATCTAACATCCATATTACACAAGGATGCCTCCAATATCAATAGATTTTATCCACTGGATATCAAAAAGGGTGCCATTTCTTCACACGAATTTAGTAGCCTCGAGATGGCGCTAAACATAAATATAATCAATCTCTTTGATCGACTTAATAAAATGAATTCATATCGATCACTGAAACAATTCCGATTATATTTCCTATGAGAAGACCGAGATTTAGTTATCTTATACTTATAATGCAACTTATGTTTCCTATTCATTGACCTCGATATAGAATTAGTAACCCATGGCAATCGAGGGGATGTTCTACGATTTCTACTATTACTGTTTGTTACTTTTGACCCTAAAAAAGTAGACCGAGTCTTGCCCCATATAACAGCATATAATGTCTACAAGGTAGATTTCACTCATCACATGCCATCATACAACACACGGTAGTTCAATGGTCACTGGGCGTAATGCAAAGGAGCATCCATTCAGTCGAACACATTTGTAAACTAGTTACACTTGAGTTTCTGCCGCATTAGACAATCGCTTCCAAAACTTATATTTGCGTTTACAAGTTAAGTTGAAACCAAGAAATGTAGGACTAAACGGAATGTACTTGGTCCAGGTCCACTTTCTGATGTATGACATTCCAAACGGCATGTTATAGCAACCGTTGACAAGGCGTGTTACTTCCGCTTTCATTTCCTCATTCATGCCATCATCATCGCTGGTGCATGAGCTGCTTACGTGCTGCATCCTTTTTAGACCTCGTTCATCAGGAGTACCTATATACCAACAAAGAAATTCTGTTAAAACGGGATTCTATGCCTTGGGAAGTGACTATTTAATTTGCAGTTGTACGACACTTTCTCTGTGATGTCACACACTCCCCGAATTCCAAACTCAAACCCTGGACCTAGTTTTCATGGTAAAATATTTATTTCCATGAAATTATTCTTAACTTATCCCTTCCTCTGGACTACAGGTGGTTATGTCAGATATTTTTTCTGACATACTGGGGGTAAGATATCTTTACATGACTGTCAAACCATGTCAATGCCTTTTCCGGAATAAAAATGGGAAGGGGGAAGGACTTCATTAGTGACATTTAGTATGTAACATACAGTAATGGAAGCACTGTGATATTAGGGAATGATCTTGACGCTCATACGAGAGTTCTTGCGTTTGATCCTTGTTTATCCTTAGCGCGGATCCAGGGGGGGGGCCGAGCGGGCCTTGGCCCCCCCCCCCCCCGCAAAAAAAAAAAAAAAAAAAAAAAAAAGAGAGAGAAGAAAGGAAAGGAAGGGAAAGGGAAAGAAGAGAGAAAGGGAAAGAAAAAAGTGGAAGAAAAAAGAAAAGGGGAAAGAAGGAGATCGGGGGGGGGCCGAAAGAGCCTTGCCTCCCAGGCTGTTGACCCCCCCCCCCCCCCCCCAATCAAAAAAATAAGAGAGAAGGAAGGAAAGGGAAAGAAAAAAGGAAAAGAGGAGATACTTGCGTACTGATGGGGGGGGGGGGCTTGGGGGAAATCAAACTCAAACGTGGTTTATTTCTAATTCCACAACCGTGGATTACAAATAATGCTGAAATTACTTAATTTCCGAGATTTTTTCTCACTTTTTAGTAAATTATACGTTTGTATACTTTGTTGGAAAATGACAAATTCCTAAATTTACAGCCAGGCAAGAAATATGATTCTTGAGATTCCTACATGTCAGGGCCCGAGGTACGGCAGGAATCGGGAGCCTCGAGCTCCCTCCACCCCCTACACTTTTTTTTGAAAAAGTGTAATAAAGAGAAATAAAATAGAATGAGAGCAAGAAAGAGAGAATTGTTAACTGCCCGTGTTAAAAAATAATGAGGCATCAAAATATGCTCATCTGAACTGGATTAAATGCCTAAAACCCCTAAGCTTCCGGGGGCTCTGCCCCCATGGACTCCACCTATAGGGCCCTACGGGGGCCCATAGATGCTTATCTGACGGTAATTTAATGCCTAAAACCCCTGATTTGGGGGGGGGGGGGCTCTGCCCCCTGTACCCCACGCCAATAGTGTCCTGCCAGTGTCACAAAAAAAATAAGGTATACAAAAAAAAGCTCATCGGACCTTAGTTAAACGCCTAAAACCCCTGAGCTTCCGGGGCCGGCTCCGCCGTCTCGACCCCACCAGGGGCCCTAAGGCGGGCCCCTGAATGCTTATCTGACCGTAAATTATTGCCTTAAACCCCTGAGCTTGCGGGGTCGGACAAGGTATCAAAATATGTTTATCGGACCGCAGGCACGTAGCCAGGCGGGGGCGTAGGAAGAAAAAGGAGCAGACAAAGGATATCTTTGAAATTCAGAATCAAGACCGGTACAGCAAATCGTCTTCTTTCTCTCTTAATCTTAATGAAACGTCAAAGCTTCCGCGCTTTGCGCGCGGGAGGGGGGGGGGAACCTGAATTCAAACGAGGATCCAGAATTCCGATTCCGACGTGGATTATTTTCGAGAACGGTACAACGAATCGTCTTCTTTCTCTAATGATTTAATGAAAATTAAAAGCTTCCGCGGGAGGGGGGACCTGAATTTAGACAAGGAATAAGAGTCGAGAACGGTACAACGAATCGTCTTCTTTCTTTAATATTTTGATGAAACGTCAAAGCTTCCGCGCTTCGCGCAGGAGGGGGAGGGGGGGATGAATTTAGACAAGGATTAAGAATCGAGAACTGTACAACAAATCGTCTTCTTTCTCTAATGATTTAAGGATTCGTAAAAGCTTCCACGCTTCGCGCGGAAGGGGGAAAACTAAATTCAGACGAGGATTAAGAATCGAGAACTGTACAACGAATCGTCTTGTTTCTCGAATGATTTAATGAAACGTTAAAGCTTCCAAACTTCGCGCGGGAGGGGAAAAATCTAAATTCAGACGAGGATTATTTTCAAAAACGGTACAACGAATCGTCTTCTTTCTTTAATATTTTATTGAAACGTCAAAGCTTCCGCGCTTCGTGCAGGAGGGGGAGGGGGGGGGGGACTGAATTTAGACAAGGATTAAGAGTCGAGAACGGTACAACGAATCGTCTTCTTTCTCTAATGATTTAATGAATCGTAAAAGCTTCCACGCTTCGCGCGGAAGGAGGAAAACTGAATTCAGACGAGGATTAAGAGTCGAGAACTGTACAACGCATCGTCTTGTTTCTCGAATGATTTAATGAAACGTAAAAGCTTCCAAGCTTCGCGCGGGAGGGGGACAATCTAAATTCAGACGAGGATTATTTTCGAAAACGGTACAACGAATCGTCTTGTTTCTCTAATAGTTAAATAAACTTAAAAGCTTTCGCGCTTCGCGCAGAGGGGGGGGGAACCTGAATTCAGACGAGGATTAAGAGTCGAAAACTCTACAACTAACCGTCTTCTTTCTCTAATAGTTAAATAAATCGTAAAATTTTCCGCGCTTCGCGCGGGAGGTGAAAAACTTAATTCAGACGAGAATTTTTTTCGAGAACGGTACAACGAATCGTCTTCTTTCTCTAATAATTTAATAAAACGTCAAAGCTTCCGCGTTTCGCGGAGGAGGGAGGGGGAAACCCCTCCCTGCACCGACCCCCCCCCCCGCATTATGTCACTGTTGGTCACCATTACGTACCAATATTTGGCTCGCAAAATTTCAAATTTGGGCCCCCCCCCCCCCCTAAGAAATCCTGGATCCGCGCCTGATGCCTAGGTCACATATAAACCGGGCCCCGTACGATTTTCCCTACCCGGCGGCATGCCGTGGATTTAGAGACCGTACGGGAACCTTCCGATTTTCTTTTCTACGGCATGTGTGGTCACATATTCTGCGGCGCCCGGGAGGTGCCCGGTGAAAATTGGTCGAGTGAAATGCAAGGCGCCCGTAAGGATGCCGGCCGGTAAGCTTACGTGCTCCGTCCGATGAGCAGGTGCACCCGTGGCTCCCGGAAGGTGCCCTGCCGGGACCCGGCCGGGGTCCTCAAGGTGCCCTGCCGGGAACCGGCCGGGGTCCTGAAGGCGCCCGGCCGGGTCCCGTGCGGTGCACTGAACTATGTGTCCTCTGAAATCCGCACCTCAAGGTTCCCGTTAAGATTTTTCATGAGAATTGACCCCCCAAAATCGTGAGGGGCCCGTTCGGACACCGTCCGGAGCCCGCCGGGACCCGTAAGGTGCCCTGCGGGCCCTTCACGGGCTCTCTACGACCTAACGGTCGGATAAAAACGCCGGGAGAATTGGGAGCAGCCGACTCAGCACCACGGCGCCCGTACGGCTTCCAAAACTGTCCCGGCGCCCGTAGGATCTTTACGGTAGCCGGCCGGACACCGGCCGAAAATTCCCAAAATGTCTGTTTTTACTCGCCGTACGGGCCCCGGAGTGTATATGTGAAAGCCCCATTATGCTGCACCCGAGGACACGGTGTTTTACAATCGTTTTCTCCCTCTTGGCGTAGGTGTGTTAATTAGGCACATACCAATGATGGGTTAATAACTACAGGGCTTTCAAGAAGACCGGTAATTAAAAGACTTTCCGACGTAAAGAAGCCCACATTGCGTGCTCAAACTGTGAAATTACATATTATGACTGTAATGCCAAAGGGAGGTTCTACAATTCAAAAGCAGTTGTAAATTAAAAGATTACCTTTCACGCTCTTTGTTTATTATTTTGAAAACTTCCTTGTTTCGTTTCTAGGATTTTGCAAGTTAATCATTTGAAATAAGTTATACCTGGTATGGTATTGTCCAATATGAACCCTATCAGGCCACCAAGGAACATGCTAGTCCGCAACAGTACTGTCAAGATCTGGTCAAGAGTTGGAAGACCTGCAGATGGAGAGTAATAGATAAACCATCAAGACTTATTGATGTGATGTTCCACACTCGAAATAAGTTATATTCGTGAGGAAAATGTATATTCAATTGACAGAAACCGAACATGAGCTGGTCTATAGAAATCAAACTCATTTCTGCGCTTCTTAAATGCGCATCTTGTTTTAATATCATGTAAGCATCAAGTGATAGATAGGAAAGTAAAATGAAAGGAAATCTTTTGACGAAGGAACTCGTTGAAGTGAGTTTATCTATGGAACACAATCCCTCCTCTGACATCATGCCAGTAATGATTTACCTTACCTCCTACCAGGGGCGTACGCAGGATTTTTTTCGAGGGGGGGTTAAAATGTGAAAATCGCGCCGAAAATTGCGCAACGACTCAGCTAACCGGTGAATAAGCGGGGGGGGGGGGGGGGGGGGTAAGAGCACATTTTTTTTTTTTTTTTTTTTTTTTTTTTTATTTTGTCCCGAAAATTTGGCCGACCGTTATTTCGTTCAGTTAGGGGAGGAGGGGGTAAGTACGCGCCTGCCTCCTACCTTGCGATTGTAGTTACCTGTCTGAATGGTATCGGGATTTGCTTCCAGGTATTCAGGTAAAGAGAGTCCAACCAGGAAAGAAAATTCTACGATAAAGAGATTCCTGGAAAATTCATGTTTACATTCTATGTGACTAATCGAGATACCCAATCCTAATCCTGACAGAGAGATGTCCTCTCTGTCTCTCATTATCACTCTCTCCCACTCTCTACTTCTTTTTTGCACTTTTGCGCTTCGCGCTTAACATTTAGCTCGTTGCTTTTTAACGCTGGGGCTTTGCATTTAGCGCATTGCATTTCTATGATGCTGTTGATTGAATAAATTGAATAAATTCATCAATTCCTGGTAAAGGCGTATGAGCGAGATTTCAAATTTATTCTTGTCTCGTATATACGGTTGTCTCATTTACGTATGTGTTATGAAAATGAGATAGCAAAATGTGCATATTTATTAATATTGATTACACTATCGGCTTTGTCTCCTACCTTTAAATGCATGTGTACTTACCGGCGGGTCTAGCTTCAATGTAGTCAGGTATAAAGAGTCCCATTACAAAGGGGAATCCTATAACAAAGACATTTCTAGAGAAATAGACGTACACAGTTACCACATCCCACTCCTGACACCACGTCTCTAAAGATTCAACTATATCTGTCTCCTAACTTTCAGTGCGATTGTTTTACCTGTTTGGATGATATCAGGATTTGCTGCAAGATATTCTGGGAGAGAGAGTCCCATCAGGAAAGAGAATCCAACGATAAAGAGATTCCTAGGTGAATTCATGTCGACATGTTGTAACGTAGAAAGTCCTACTGCAGACACCATACCTGCGGATGTTATTTTCAAAAAAGAATACGGTGAAGAATATATTTCTCTTTCATGAAATATTCCAACAAAAATTTCACCTCTCGTCTTTATTGCTCGGAAATTTGAGACTGTGTAGAAGAGTCGAAAATTGTGCCACATTATGATAATAACAAAAACTCTCATTATTGCCATTATGCAATCAATGAAATGCTCACGAGAACCTAGTCATCTTCAATTTCACCGCTAACATGGTTAATGGGTCAAGAATCTTGGAATTTTATTAAAGAAATATTTCATTGGATGGTCATAAATTACTGATTTTCGTCGTTCTCACCGATGGTTATAGCTAAGACGCCACCAACGATTGGGTCCGGCATGGCAGCAAACACCGCCCCAAATTTGAGGATGACTGCAAAAATGATGAGGTATACAGACATGAGCTGGACCACAATACGGCTGCTTACCTGCGATCAATCAATACATTATTGTTTTAGTCATCTTTACCCACTCAGGTTCTTTAAGAAATTCATTAAGAATTTAGATCTGACGTAGTCTGACGTAGAAAATTCCCTTACCAGAAAGAGTAGGTAGTATTGGAAATTCGTTTTATTACAATGCCATAAAACATTGGAATTCCCTTCCCAATGGTGTAAAAGAAATAGGAAACTATGATCATTTTAAGAGGAAATTAAAGGAATACCTAATACTTGACAGTCAGAGAAGAGATGTGATGACATGTTATTTGATTGAAATTTTTATTCTTCTGTCGGTTCATACTTTTTCATGTTGTATATACTTATGTTTTCGTCCGTTATTGAAATTCTACAAATTCATCATTATTTTCCTCTTCTTCCTTCTCCTCTTTTTTTTCTTCTCCTTCTTCTTTTTCTTCTTGTACTTAATATCATTTCTATCATCAGTTTAATGTTGTTATTATTATTATTACCTTTAATAAGTAGTTCTTATCTGTCTGTAAATATTACTATTTTAACTTATTAATTTTATACATGTCTGTAAGGGACCCCACTGGAAATAAGCTCTCCAGCTTTCGTGGGTTATCCTGTTCAAGCTGACTTATTTTTGATCTGTTATTATTGTATATTGTTGTATGTTGGAAGCTTGTCGAATAAAAAAAAATAAAAAAAATAAATCAATCAATATTAAGACCCAAATAAATGCATTCATCTACTCTTTCCAGCACATGATAATTAATCTTTAAATCAACATTGTCAAATAATTTGGCCTTACACTTAGAGCCAATTAGTATCATCTGGATTTATATATGATAAAATGTTTATAATTTCGAAATTAGTGTCGAAAATCGCCGCGTTGACAAAATGAACATTTCCCAATAAATTATGTACTGTACACAACGCTGATAATTATGTGAAAAGTTAATTAGTAATCATTCAAAAGCCATTTGGGACATAGATGAAATAGATATATCAATATGCCAAGTTTAACAAATTTTTCGTCATTTCATGACGAAGATTCTAAGGGGGCCCCTTGCCTATTGAGTTTTGGAAATAAAATTATTTGAATTGAATTGAATTGAGTACAAAAATAACCCGGCCTTTTTAGGGTGAAACTGTAACAATTCCTCTTAGATCAGATATAGACCTAAACACAAGCCCTTTTTCAGTATACAAGTGCCATTACTGTAAATCTTAGGGGTAGATTGTCTGAACATTATTTGCATTAATACCTTCACCTTGCAATCACTCCATGTATGCCAATGTTTAAGCAGTTCATTGCCAAAAGACAGGGCTACTTTTCCCATTTATATACCATACATGTATATCAAAACTTCAACCTTTGACTGTCTTCACTCTTGAAATTAAGATGCGTGAAAGGACACAAAATATGTATAATATCACAAATCGATATTCATGGAAATAATTGATTGATTAAATAAATTTGCCCATTTATCGGACCTTTTAGCTTTCATGAAAATCCCATCTAGACCGTTAAGGTAAAAGTTTGAGAACCCTTGCACTAGACCCCGGCCCCCCCCCCCCCCCACTTAGTGTTATTTAGGGTATTGTTCCCTCTTTTTGAAAGCACCCCTATCTGAGGACTGCCAACATTTCCGAACCCCCCTTTCGCGGGCTTTTCCTGCCTTGGAGACCTCCCTAAATCATGAAAAATGCTCAATGTACCCCCCTAAATTCGGAATAATTTCTCAGGAGTCCAAAGAGATGAGAGAAGAAAAGAAAAAACACCCCCTTTTTAAAGAAATCTCCGGGTGAAAAGTTATTACACCCCTTTTTTTTCGCACGAAAAGTACCCCTTTACCGGACATTTTGGTAACAAGCATGGGGTCCGTCCGTTCTCGGGGTGGGGGGGGGGGGCGGGCACTAGACCAAGCCACCTTAACCATCACCTGCTTTATCCGTGACTTTATACCAACCTTTGTCAGACCAATGACTGCTATGTTGGTGGAGTATGAGGTAGAGCTGACACCACTCCCCCAGAGGGCTGAAAAGAGACCTCCGATACCCTCTATGCCTATCCCCCTGTTCAAGGCATGGACGGGGGGACTTGGTGCACCTGACAATCCTGCCAAGGCGTAGTAGTCACCTATGGACTCGACGATAGAAGCAAGGGTACCAGCCATCATTCCAAACACCCCACCTGCTGAAATGGTCAATGGTCCCCATTGCCCTTTGTGACGAGAAAACAAAAACATGACAACATGTTAATCAACTTTATCAAGTACAAGGACTGTTACAGATATCGGCGGTCATGGCCTTCCATTTCTGTCTATTATCTGCTGTTAAAATTAGGTACTAATATTGAAGAAACTCTAGATTGGAAAGGTCATATTGATTACGTTTGCTCTAATTTTTTTTAGAAGTACTGGTGTCTAGTCTAGGCTAAAGAATTTTTCCCTAGGAACATATAAATGAATATTTAAAATGCAACAATTCTTTTCCACTTATATCAATGCAATATTATTTGCGGTGATACATACAAAACAAAACTATTCAAGATGTATGTTACAGAAACGTGCAGTTCGCTTAAGTACAATGTGTCATTACTTGTCTCCAAGTTTACCACTATTTATAACATTGAAAATTGTTCCTGTATTTGATTTGATCAAACTAAATACATTCATATTTATGGTTAAATTTTATAAAAAAAGCTTTTACCATAATTATGTTCCAAACAAATTATTCTATTCACAACTACCCCCAGTCGTCAAAGTCAACGCTTACATCGCCCACTTTGCCGTTCAACTTCATAGTACATCTTGTTGGGAATACGAATGGAATTCATTGGATCATGACCTTAGATCTAGTTCTACAATCTTATTAACAGATTTAAATCGATGTAGAAAAAAGGTATTTTTCAAAGAATGATATCCATGGTTGAGTAGATACTTCTCTTTTTGTGCCAGGAGGCACAATAGTACATTATTTTTGTACATGATTATACAGTACTATATGATGTGTATTAAAGATAGGACAGATTTGCAATGGAGGAAGCTAGGTGGCTCAGGGGGAACTTGCTCCACTCGTATCGATCCCACACGATATCAAATTGACGGATCCAAGAGAAATCTAGGCCCTAATTGCCAACATTTTTGTCGGGGGGGGGCGGGGGGGCGGGGGCGGGGGGGCGGGGGCGCTTTTCAGCGTATTTAGCTTTTAGCAGCTACGGGATACATACCCATGTCTGATAAAAAACATGATAAAGGATACATGTTCAGCATGTTTATAGACGTGTTCGAAAGACGTCCTTTTTTTTTGTCTAAGGTGATTTCTTCTTTTCTACAGCACAACAATACTTTCCGACAGAGGTTTCAATCACATAATCCTGGACAAACTAGTAGGTGTCTTAAATACCATACCTGGATAGGGAAAGTAAAACCAAGGAGTGCTAGCCATGCCCTCGTTTTTGGAGTCCGTGCGGACTCTGTAGTATGGAGAGCTTGAATCATTAGGAAAAACGTCAGTTACGGTCAGAATCCAGCACAACGTCCACGATATCACGACAGATAGAAAGATCTGCAAAAAAAATATAGGACATATATTTGACTAATAGATTGATTGTTCTATTCATTCCCACGCGAAATTAACAAAGCATAATTGATTCTGCAAAGCATCAACATTGTTTAAATAATATGGATATAAATAATCATAAATCACAGAATATTTAAAGAATGTTCTGTAAATCATTAATTGGGGAAACGAATAGAGATCTCACTAAAAAGCTGGGTATGTTGCGTGTAGCTTCACTGATTTAATACAGTTTTGAAAATTTGCCTTGAAGATTATTTTATAGGACTAACAATTGTGACAATATATACTATATAATATAGTAACAGCATGTCCGCACACAACGTATATGCACTTTTCCACTCCCTAGATTATCTATGTGCCTTTTACGGGATATTACAACTGGTCTAGTTTGTCTGGATTAAAGCTACTTAAACTGTGAGGTATTTGTGAAGAAACTGAATTCCTTTAATGTATTTTAAATAAAAACTCTGTAAAGAATCTCATTCGATATAACATATTGGCCTACATGAGTCAATTTGTACACTAATCTCAAACATCGTTGCAAAGACTTCCGAATAATCAACCTGAAGCAATTTCAGTAACCTCAGCTATCCATCATCTTTTTTGCACGTGTGAACATTGAAAGGTCATATTACATAATCCAAAACACGATTCCTGTGGGATACACAACAGGGTATTGATGTTTCCCCAGTTAATTCTCGAAAGTCTTTGCGATCGTCTAAACGATAGAAAACTGAATTCAAGTAAAGTAATGAAATTACTGGAAATAAGCGGAAGATTGGAAACCCAAAGAAGTGACATTTTCGACTCGTGGAGTACCCTAAGCAGGGAATCTTGAACCGTGCGAGGTACTGAGAGAATGTTAAGATCAGCGCCATCGTTCTGGGAAAAGAAAAAAGAAATCAACATAATATACAAAACGACGTAGAAGACAAGAAGACAAACCTAGTAAACAGAAGAAAATTGTCAGGTAGAAATTGGCCAACAGGGGCTAATTGCGAGTTTGTGTCAAATCAAATTTGTTGACAGTTTCTCCCCATTTTAGGTAATGTTTTGCGTAATCACGATAACCTTTTAGTGGCCCTGTAAGTTGCCTAAACGTTAACCGGACTAATACTATACCCTCATGTTTGTTGTTGTTCAATGTGCCGTATACCCGGTACACTGGACAATAATTTTTGTGATAGCTCGGAAATATAGTATTTTGCTTGTCCACATAATATCAAAATATTCTAGACCAGAATTCAGTACCGATACTGAATTCTGGTCTAGAATATTTTGATATTCGTTAATCGGAACCTGGCCCTTGTAAATTAGACAGCCGTCGCAGCCATTGGGTGATGGAAGAATTTAATTTAATAGGAACTTTTCATTAATCTTGATCTACGGAGACACGAACGAACGCTAAAAAAGCTAATACTAATTACGTTTCT